CTGTCTCTGTCGCCGCCAGATCTCCCAACTTCGTGAACCAAACTCCCTTGTCGAGGCGGGTTCTCAACACAGATGATACAACCTCACTTGCTGAAAATGAAGATGACTTAAAATATATACTGATGAAGATCAAAGAGCACAGTTTTTGGTATGGATTGCATCTCAATGTAAAGAAAACAAAAATCCTTACCACTGTACCAATAAACAACATTCTCATCAACAGAGAAAAGATTGAAGTTGTCAAGGACTTCATTCTTCTTGGATTAACTATCAACACTCATGGAAGCAGCAATCAAGAAATCAAATGACGTATTGCATTAGGCAAATCTGCTGTTGAAGAGCAAAGATGTCAGCTAGAGGACGAAGGTGCACTCGACCCAAGCCATGGTATTTTCAATAACTTCATATGCATGTGAAAGCTGGACAGTGTACAAGGAAGACCGTAGAAGAATTGATGCTTTTGAGTTATGGTGTTGGAGGAGAATATTGTTAAGTGCCATGGGATGCCAAAAGAACCAACAGATCTGTTTTGGAAGAAGTGCAGACAGAGTGCTGCTAGGAGGCCATGATGGCCCAACTTCGTCTCTCATTCTTTGGACATATTGTTAGGAGGGTTCAGTCGCTGGAGAAGGATATCATGTTTGGTAAGGTGGAGGGTCAGATAAAGAGAGGAAGACCCCCAGTGAGATGGATTGGTCAAGTGGCAGCATTGATGAACTCAAGCCTGGCAGCAATAGTGAGGTTGGCCCAGGATATGGCAGTGTTTCGTTCTGGTGTGCATAAGGTTGCTATGAGTCCATACCGATTTGATGGCACCTAACAAAAAAATCTGATTTAAAAAACCAATGGCATTTAAGAAAGAAGCCCAAGCTGCACTGAAATGGAAAATAAGGTTCCAGGAATTGACAGAATATCAACTGAAACATTTCAACTGAGGCTGGAGGCACTCACTCATCCATGCCAAGAAATTTGAAAGGCAGCTACCTGGTCAACCAACTGGAAGAGATTCATGTTTGTGCTCATTCCCAAGAAAGGTGACCCTACAGAATGCAGAAATGATTGAACAATATCAATAATACCACATGCAAATAAAATTTTGCTGAGAATAATTCAAAAGCAGTTGCAGTAATATATCCATCCACAAGGAGTTGTCAGAAATTCAAACCAGAATCAGAAGGGAGAATGAGGGCTATCAACGCCAGGTTTCATCTTGGATGAAAACAGAGAACACCAGAAAGATGTTTACTTGTGTTTTATTGACTATACAAAGGCATTCTACTGTTCGAATCATAAGAAACTATGGATAATATATTGCAAGGAATGAAAATTACAAAATACTTAATTGTGCTCATGTGGAAACTATACAGTCTCAGAGGCAGTCATTCAAACCAACCATGGGAATACTGAGTGGTTTATAATCACAAAAGGTGTTAGTTGGGATTGTAGCCTTTCACCATACTTATTCAATCTGCATACTAAGCAAATAATCTGAGAAGCTGGCCTATATGAAGAAGAGTATGGTATTAGGATTGGAGGAAGACTCATTAATAACCTGTGGTATGCAGATGGCACAACTTTGTTGAAAGCAAAGAGGATATGAAGCATTTACTGATAAAGATGAAAGAACATAGGTTTCAGTATGAATTACAACTCAATGTAAAGAAAGCAAAAAAATTTTTGCAGAATTGGACCAATAAATATTATGATAAACAGAGAAAAGATTGAAGTTGCTAAAAATTTCACTTTACTTGGATCCACAATCAACACTCATAGAAGCAGCACTCAAGAAATCAAAGGACACAATGCATTGGACAAATCTGCTGCAAACGACCTGTTAAAAGTGCTAAAAATCAAAGATGATACTTGAGGACAAAGGTGGATCTGACCCAAATCAGGTATTTTCAGTGACCTCATATGCATGTGAGAGCTGAACAACAAATACAGAAGACTGAAGAAAAACGGAAGCATTTGAATTATGTGTTAGTAAAGAATATTGAAAGTACCATGGACTGCCAGAAGAAGGGATGAATCTGTTTTGAAAGTCCAGTCAGAATGCTGCTTAGAAATGAGGATGGTAGACTTTATCTCATACTTTGGGCATGTTGTCAGAAGGGACAAGTCCTTGGAGAAGGACATGATGCTTGGTAGAAGGTCAGTGAGAAAGCAGCAGACCCTCAATGAAATGGAATAACACAGCAGGAAAGATGTGAGAATGGCACAGGACCGGGCAGTGTTTCATTCTGTTGTCATTAGAGCTGACTCTTAACAACATCTTTTAATAGTAGGATTATGAACGATTTATTCTTTTTATAAATGATCAATATTTTAAATTTTCCAACAAGCAGATTAAGGGTACATTTACTTTATTAATAAGAAAGCAAATTAAAAATAGAACTTCTCTGTGAATTAATAAGTTATCCAAAGATGCTAATTATGAACAAATAGGTATCTTTTCCCCTACATCTTGCACTACACTCTTTTCTCATCCTACGCCTCCAACCCTTCCATTTCTATTTTTTCACATCAGCCCTGCTATAACCCCATCATTAGAGATACCAGGAAACTGAAGTATAATTACTCTAAGTGTTTTAAATGTTCAGTTAAACCATTTCATTTATTTTAGAGCATTTTTAAGAGTTAAAACAGACATTAGTTAAGAGGATGGGCTTCAAGAATCAGACAGATCTAGGTCTGAATCTTAGCTTGCAACCTACTAGATAAGGGGACCTTGCATATGTTTCAATTTCCTTCACTTGGATTTATGTGAAGGTGAACTGGGAGAATGCACATAGAGCATCATAGCACAGCATTGGTGATGGTCGCTGTATGCCACTGAGTTGGTTAAGGCTCAAAACAACACTGCATAGAGTTTCTGAGGCTGTAAATCTTTATGGGAGCAGAAAAAGCTCCATCTTTCTTCTATAGAGGGATTAGTAGATTCAAATTACTCACTTTATGGTTAGCAGTTTAGTTCATAATCCACTATGCTACCAGAACTCCTTAAGATTGTAGATGCTATTAAGTGTTGTCGAAACAGTATAGACTCATAACGATCCAGTATACGGTTTCCAATGAGCAGCTGGTGGGTTTGAACCACGGACCTCATGGTTTGCAGTCCAGAGCTGATCCTATAGCACCATACCAGGACTTGTATAATAGTGATAAGATACTCAGAAAAGGTAGCTGCTGTTAGAGTTTTGTAGTTAATGTTACCATTGCTGCTTTTGGTATGCAGTCTCTTAAGTCTTAGGCTTAGAGAGGTAGAGTAGTTGTTCACAGTCATTTGCACTTCCTAGACCACTAAAGAACTCCTGGTATGGCACTGTAGGATCAGCACTGGACTGCGAACCACAAGGTCGGTAGTTCAAACTCACTGATTGCTCCTCAGAAATCCTATACAGAGTCGCTGAGTTGGAATTGATTCGATGGCACACAACAAGACCACTCAAATATCCTAAATAATTTGCTATACGTACATGGCACTGTGAATTAATTTACAAAATTGGTGTACTAAAACACCAACACTTACCATTACTTTTTAGATAAGAAAAAGTATTTGAACATAGAAGATAATCTCAGTGTAAAGGAAATCATTCCCAAGAAAGGACAATTAGCAACTGCATGCCAAAATTATACTAATCCCCCTTCCCCCCAACATTTTGTCATGCAGCAGTGAGCACTTAGTCAAGGATAAATACCAGTCTGAAAACTGGTAGCTGATAATGAGATGCAACTTCTTATCTGAATTCCTCATCCATAAATGAAGTTGCAGCATTGTATCTTAATAGGGATATTCACTCAACAAACACTTATCAAAATACCTCAGGATCTAATGAGGTCAAGTATATGAAAACTAGACACAGTATCTTGTATATTATACAGTATCACAGAAGTTATAAGTTACTATCATCACAAATTGATAGTCCCCTAAGAGGAAGGTCAGCAGTTCAAACCCACCAAGTCTTCCTTGAAAACCCTATACAGGGTTGCTAGGAGTCAGAACCAACTTGACAGCATTTAACAGCAACAAGAGGAATAAAGATATTATACCCACTCATTTTAGTGGCTTAGTCATTTTTCATACTCACACTATCATAAATGATATTCAAAATCCTTTAGAGTGAACATTTCCCACATTTTCTTCTTTAAAAAGAGTCGTATTTGTGCTCATGACTCTGTCATTCTCTTTCTTGTGGGAATTCAGGATGTTAATATTCCCTTAGATGGTTATGACTCTCAAGAGAAAGTTATTAAGCTAGAAGCCGCTGCTTTAGTTACCAGTATACAGAATCAAATCCTGAGCAAGAAAATGTAACACAGGGAAAAAAGTAGGTTCAGACACAGATTTAAAAAAAAATTTTTATTTTCTTATACTGACATTATTGCAAGATTTTCAGTGCTAAAATTCACTTTCAAGTATAATGATCAAGAAATAATAAGAAACACCAAACTGAGAAATTATAGTTTTGTCATTTTCTCTGTAGCTTCTTAATCCACTGAACATAATTTCAAAAGTCAATACTTTTAGTCAGCTTCTTTATTAGATGTTTGGGTTTCTGCTTCTTTAGGCAACAAAGGCTCAATCTTTAGTACCAAACCTTCGCTTGTTGAGCTACGAAGGAAAGCACGTATCACAAACGGTCCTAGAAGAAAACACAGGAATCAATTTTATTTTATTCCACAGGTACCTAGTGAGAAAATACAAATATACAACAAAAAACCTTACAGGACTCACGTCACATTTTCACTTGGAAAGTACTGATATTACTGATTATTTCAAATTATTTTTTAAAAAAGAGAGATCGCTCCATTTCTACAGCAGAGGACAAATGAGTTGTACTTCAAAACCTTAGAGATTTGTCCTTGAAACTACACATACTAATAATTCATTTCTTTTTTCCAGGAGATAATCCCATCAAATTTACTTTATTGCAAAGTCAACAGTGAAGGGAGCAGGTGGTGATATTCACATTTGATGAAAATATTCTAAATATTTATTTAAGGCAGCCAGCACAGATGCTACCTTTTGTGTTCAACAAACATTGAGTGAAATTCCCTAAAACTGAAAAGTTTTTCTTAACAACAGTGTTGTTGTTAAGTACCGTGGAGTCAGTTCCAACTCATAGTGACCCTGCATAGGATTCCCGAGGCTGTAAATCTTTACAGGAGCAAAAAACCTCATCTTTCTCCTGTGGAACCGCTGGTAGTTTCGAACTGCTGACCTTGAGGTTGGCAGCCTGACTCGTAACCACTACACTACCAGAGCTCAGTGGTAAGCAGGTTCATTTAAAATGGTAATATTTTCAGAGGACTTATGGTCCCTATCATTATAAACTATAATTTTAGAAAATTCTATACAGAAACCAAAGTTTTCCAAGAATGTTAAGAATCCATATTCATATAAGTACTATGGCCATATTTTATTTGTTGTTGTTGTTATTAAGTGCTGTCAAGTAGATTCCAACACAGAGCAACCCTGTTTAGGGCTTCCAGGTGGGTTTGAACTGCCGACCTGAGACTTATCCTCAAACTTTTATTTAGGACAACAGAAGTAACTACTGTAGTAACTAATTTATTCACCAGTGTGTTTAACTCTTACAAAAGTGGACTTACAGCTTAAAATTAAGAATTAGTTACAAACTTGTTTATAAAATAAAACCTGACAAATCCTTGTCACGGTTCAACGCAAAAGCACATTGACTACAATGGACTCTTGCTTGGCTGCAACCACCACCAGTGAGATTTGACTGAGGAAGGAATGTGAATGGCATAAAATGCAATGATTTAAACACGGGACTGGCCTACTACACTAAAACATCTCAAGCTTCTATATCTCAATTGTCCTATTGTTCTCCATGAATCACCCCATTTATAAGACCTGACTCTAATGAAATGATAAAAATCTTGTTCTTTTTCCAGAATGAAAGAATGAGGGTTAAGGAAGTCACTGGCTAGTGCTAGAGACAAAGTGAATGGTCTGGCTCTGAAATAGCATTTCATACATTATCTTAATTCTTATTAAACACTATTTAAAGTTTAAAGCAATCAGTTACAATATCTTTCAAGCCTTATCATATTTTAATAGTAACAATTATGTGGGGACTTGCAAGTTTTCATAATGTATGCCTTATTAATGTTAAAGAAATCTCTTCTAGACTACTGCAACTCATTAATATGATAGTAAGAAGTCTTTTGAAGGATTAAATTGTACTTGTTTTATTCCTGTTTTATAGTGGTGCCATTTTACTTGTAAGTTAACTTGACAATTAAAAAAAATACTTTATGTCTTTATAGTATTACATTAGGGCTATAAGGAAGTCTACCCTCAGCGAACTGCTTACCCAAACTCAGCGGTCTGTGCTTACAAACATCACTGATAACTGCTTTCATATTGGCAGCTATATTAATCAATATTCAATTATCATTAGTTGAATTTTTGAAAAACACTATATATAAAACAATCAATATTTAATCTATCTAGTGTTTTCCAAAAAATTCAACCAATGAAAATCATCCACTGAGACACTTACTGTGAGAAAAACTTTCAAACTTCTTTTAGATGCTCCATTTACATGTCTTTTCCTGATGAGATTTAATTGCCTTAAAAGCATATTAGAGCAAAGCTCTTTGAAGTTGTTCTCCTTGAGAGTCCTTGACTTCTAAATAATTTCCCCAAAGCATATACTAGGGCAGAATACACCATCCTCCAGCACCACCCCAAGGAATTAGTGATATTTTCTGAAGTTATTTGTTGATTTATTCTAAAAGAAACTAAATGTTTACTTATGAACATTTCATATAAAAACTTGACTATATACATTCTTTATTGTTGTAAAAATAAAGATAATATGGTGGTGGCTGTGTGCCATGGAGCCAGTTCCAATTCATTGCGACCCTGTACAGGGTTTTCGAGGCTGTAAATCTTTCCAGGATCAGAATGCCTCATCTTTCTCCTGTGGAACAGCTGGTGGTTTCGAACTGCTGACCTTGTGGTTCACAGCCTGATTTGTAACCACTACGCTACCAGCACTCCTTAAAGATAACATAACAACTTTTACATATACAATTCATGATTATTCTTTAATGGTTACATGAGGGGTTTGTTTGTTTTTTCAGGAGGCTGTGCTAAGTTTTTGTTCTAATTTTTCAAGGAGTTTGTCTATTATTTTGGCATTTAGCAAAAAAAAAAAAAAAAAAAAAACTACAGTAATTACAACATACAGAGAATGAGTTCTATTCATAAAATTTCTACAGCCAGCTCATACCTTTGAAAAGTCCTTGTGTTTATCATTCAAATGAAATGAATGTCATTCTTCCCAAATACACCTGTTAAAATCAGTTACACTATAATTTAAAATGTTTTAAGGATTTTGCACTTGGCCCGATAACTAATTTTTTAAAGTTCATAGCAAACATGATAGCATAATTGTCAAAAATCATCCAGTAAAATAGTGTAGGTTCAAAATTTTTTCTATTTTGCAGTTGTACTGAGACTATTGGGAGAAATGTGCCATGTGATCATTAAGCCAATTTCCCTTGAAAAAATATATATTCTCATCACCATCAGAGAATATTTATTAAATACCCACTTGGGCATGATGCTGTGTCAAACTCCAAAACAAGAATGTTTGAATGTTACTGGGGGAATTTTTACTTTATGCCAAACAGAAAGTGGGCATAAAGGCAAGTGGGCACGAGAGGAAAAAACTCAAAGCAATACTTTTTTTTATAGTTCACCTTATAAAATTCAAATCAAATTGAAGCAAGTTGTTCAGTAGTAAACACAGCACTTTATGTTTTCTGTTTTTTAAAGAAGTTAAGGTCAGTAGCATGTGTCCCTGGCCCCTTTCTTCCGTACTAGTACATCAAACTGCCCTTTCTCTTATCAACCGAAGAAGTTACTATTCCTTTCGGTTAAGAGCTATACTTAACTTTAAATTTAGAAAAGCAAGTGTCCAAAAAAAAAAAGGCAAGATGCCCAACATAGTTAACATTCATGAGCTATACTAAACAGGTGTATATTGTTGTTGTTAAGTGCCATCAAGTTGATTCTGATTCACAGTAACCCTATATAAGGTTTCGGAGGTTTTTAATATTTGCAGTAGCAGAAAGCCTCATCTTTTTCCCATGGAGCAGCTGGCAGGCTAGAACCACGGATCTTGTGGTTCACAGTCCAGTGCTTATCATATCTGTGCCCCCTAATAGGTATATAACAACCCAGATACTTGTTTAACTGCTCTTCTTCTGATTTAATTTACATATTGTCATTTTTACCACAAGTTAAAATTAATAATATATGATTTAGAAATGCAAAACAATTATCACCCTTGTGACCTGATTAATATGATGCCTTAAATTATTTCATTGAACTATTTTAAGATGTTTAAAAATATGTAAAAATGTTTAAAACATAACAAACTTTTGCCCACATGTTAGCACTTTCCTTATTTAGTGCTCTGTGTCCTTCACTGAATCTCAAAATATATCTTTAGCCATAATATTTCGTTTTATGTTTTCTTTTAGATATCATAGAAAATCATGGAAGAGTGAATACATTTTAGTGGTGCTGTAGGATAAGCACTGGACTGCTAACCACAGAGTTGCTATAGATTAGAACTGATTCAATGGCACTTAACAACACTGTTACAATGTAACTGGTTACTGACAACACTGTAGACAACAAAATGCCTCCATGTGTATAAGTCTTATCAAAGTTTGCATATGAAATTTCTTTGGCTAACAATGATCTAAATAAAAGAAAGCAACACTTGCAAGCTATGTCTTAGTTACCCTACATTCCAATAACGCTTTTCTACGCAGTAACATTTTGTGGTCTTAAGACAGCAGGAATGACGTTTGGATGAGAGGATATTTATCTGTTGGATATTCAGTAGCAGTGCATAAGATCTGATATGGCAGGAAAAAAAAACAACACAAAACTGAACTAGGCACGGGATTGACCTTGAAAGCAGTAACAAACTGTTAAATAACATATTTGTGCATGTCCATATGCGTAGTGGTTACAAGTTGGGCTGCCCATCTCAAGGTCAGCAGTTCAAAGCTACCCAGCAGTTCCGTGGGATAAAGATGAGACTTTCTGCTCCAGTAAAGATTTACAGCCTTGGAAACCCTGTGCAGGATCACTATGAGTCGGAATCGACGCCACGGTACTTAACAATATGTTTGTATATATATATTCTTAAATCCTTTTAAAGGTAGTAGACTCTTACCCCAGGAAATGCACACAGGCACTCACAAGATTTAGCCTGTTTTTCAGGTGTTCACGTAGTTTCTGATTTAAAGAAAGAAGAAAGCAGTGCTTCTGAAGACAGCATGTCAATTAAGAGGATTCCCTGGACCACACTTTGAGAACCACCAATATAGAGAGGTGGTGGTGCTGTGCCGTTGAGTTGATTCTGACTCACAGTGACCCTGGGCAGAGTTTCCGAGGCTGTATATCTTTAGAGGAGCAGAAAGCCTCATACTTCTTCTAAGGAACGCCTGGTGGACTCAAACAGCTGACCTTGCAGTTAGCAGCCCTACGAGTAACTCACTCCGTTTCAAGTCTCCTCCAATATAGAGGTTGTTGTTGTTTTTAAGTGCTGTCGAGTTGATTGCGACCCACAGTGATTCTGTATAGGGTTTCCGAGGAGCAGCTGGTGAGCTTGAACCACTGACTTTGCAGTTCAAATGGCTTTGTAGTGGCTTTGTAGTCTGGCGCATTAACCCATAGAGCCACACCAGGACTCCAATACAGAGGTTGTTGTTGTTCTTGTTATGTGCCATCGAGTCGGTTCCGACCCATAGCGACCCTGTATAGGGTTTCCGAGGGTGTAAATCTTTACAGGAGCAGAAAGCCTCATCTTTCTCCCGCGGAGCAGCTGGTAGTTTCGAACCGCTGACCTTAAGGTTCGCAGCCCGATTCGTAACCACTACGCTACCAGAGGTAAATCTGTGTAAATATTTTGAAGAACTACAGTGTAAACACTAGACCGCAAGGTGGGTATGAACTGAAAGGTCGATAGTTCAAACTTACTAGCCACTCCTTGAAAATCCTATGCAGGGAGCTATGAGTCAGAATCGACTCCATGGCACTAAACAACAACAATGTGGAAAAATAGCCAGTGTTTCCAGAAATTTTTTATTTTTCAAGAACTATGTGTGCCCAGTCAGTTTTTAAAAACTGACTTAATAAAACAAAGCAAAACCACTATTTGGGCCAGACAAAATATGACTAGTGCCAAACTCAGTCTGCAAATTGCCAATTTGTAAACTCTGATCTTCAGACTGTATCACTGAAAATGACAGAAGATAGTGAATTTGAACCTGAGACAATAATTTATGACTAGATTTCAAAGGGATATGAATGCAAAGCTAAAGACATTAGAATAAATACATCCTGCCAGTAGTGACATTTAATGTCTGTAAGCAAAAATTACAGCTGATGTATGTTTTACAAAAGACTTTTAGGGTAAAGGTGCAAAACAATTGGTGGTAAATGTTTTATGTATACAGAAGGATAATAAATACATTGTTGTTGTTGTGTGGCTAAGTGCTGTCAGCTGGTGAGTAGAGATCCAGTGCATTATACTACAGGACCACACCAGACTCCATTATGCAAAACAATAATAGTCTGTAGCAACTACTCATTGTCAGAGTAGCATGAAAGAAACCACACACAATACATAAATGACTGAACATGACTGTGTTCCAGTATCATTTACAAAAGCAGATGGCAGGCCGGATTTAGGCCACACGTCATAGTTTGCCAGTAGACTGAAGTAGTTGAGTGACTGGGCAAAAGCAAACATTGTTTCATTAAGAGCAGAAAAGTTTTGTTTTTAACAGAAAGTTTTGTTGGGTGTTGAATGACTTTTGGTTTCCTGCTCTGCATCTGGAATCCTGGTGTGGCATTGCGGGCTAATGCGCCGGACTACAACCTTGGTTTGAACTGCATGGTTGGCGGTTCACACCTACCTGAGACTGCTTGGAAGACTTATACAGGATTGCTATGGTTAGGAACTGACTCGATGGCACTTAACAACAACTCTGCATCTACCCTGGTGTGGCACTGTAGGATAAACGTTGGTTTCAACCACAAGGTCGGTGGTTCAAATTCACCAGCTGCTTCTTGGAAACCCTACACAGGGTCGCTATGACCAACTCAATGGCACTTAACAACAACAACTCTCTGCACCTACTAGGAGGATGAAATGTAAGTTTACCAGACTAAGCCCTGCACTGTCATTTAGACTGTTACCGTTGCTAGATGACATTGAGTTGGTTCCAACTCATAGGGTTTCCCGAGGCTGTAAATCTTTACGGGAACAGAAAACCTCATCTTTCTCCTACACAGCGGCTGACGGGTTTGAACTGCTGACCTTGTGATTAACACAGT